TCAGGGTCAGGGTCAGGGTCAGGGTCAGGGTCAGGGTCAGGGTCAGGGTCAGGGTCAGGGTCTTGGGTCAGGGTCAGGGTCAGGGTCAGGGTCAGGGTCAGGGTCAGGGTCAGGGTCAGGGTCAGGGTCAGGGTCAGGGTCAGGGTCAGGGTCAGGGTCAGGGTCAGGGTCAGGGTCAGGGTCAGGGTCAGGGTCAGGGTCAGGGTCAGGGTCAGGGTCAGGGTCAGGGTCAGGGTCAGGGTCAGGGTCAGGGTCAGGGTCAGGGTCAGGGTCAGGGTCAGGGTCAGGGTCAGGGTCAGGGTCAGGGTCAGGGTCAGGGTCAGGGTCAGGGTCAGGGTCAGGGTCAGGGTCAGGGTCAGGGTCAGGGTCAGGGTCAGGGTCAGGGTCAGGGTCAGGGTCAGGGTCAGGGTCAGGGTCAGGGTCAGGGTCAGGGTCAGGGTCAGGGTCAGGGTCAGGGTCAGGGTCAGGGTCAGGGTCAGGGTCAGGGTCAGGGTCAGGGTCAGGGTCAGGGTCAGGGTCAGGGTCAGGGTCAGGGTCAGGGTCAGGGTCAGGGTCAGGGTCAGGGTCAGGGTCAGGGTCAGGGTCAGGGTCAGGGTCAGGGTCAGGGTCAGGGTCAGGGTCAGGGTCAGGGTCAGGGTCAGGGTCAGGGTCAGGGTCAGGGTCAGGGTCAGGGTCAGGGTCAGGGTCAGGGTCAGGGTCAGGGTCAGGGTCAGGGTCAGGGTCAGGGTCAGGGTCAGGGTCAGGGTCAGGGTTAATTGTATTAAATTATATTTTCGGGGGGTCAATTGTCGGGAGGTCAATTGTCGGGGGGTCAATTGTCGGGGGTCAATTGTCGGGGGGTTAATTGTCGGGGGGTCAATTGTCGGGGGGTCAATTGTCGGGGGGTCAATTGTCGGGGGGTCAATTGTCGGGGGGTTAATTGTCGGGTGGTCAATTGTCGCCCACCCTTTGGCTCATAACTCATTTTTTGTCCAATCTGGATGAAAATTCATATACGAGTTCAGAAGACCACTAGCTACAAGTAGAACACCTAAAACCTGGGTTTTTGACATGTTCAGGGGATTTGGCCAAATCCCCTTTAAATTAGGACTAAATATGGGCGTGACTGCCTGCTGCCCCGCTGGCACCGGTGGGCACCAAGTTCGGTCCTAGTTTGTTGGTCAACTGCTATCTCAAAATCAAATTATTGGCTTTTATTAGTAACACATTTTTAAATGGCAGAGGTTAAAAAGGAATTAATTACAATTTTCGGCAAGATCCAGCGTACTAGAATTTCTCCTTCTAAACACCCATTTCCGTCCTGGAAAATCCTGTAGACCAGAAAATAAATTTATATCCTGCAATTTCCCGTCCGGCAGGCTAAACCCCAGAGCGGTTGGTTCCTAGTTCATAAAGTCCGGAATTTTTGAAAGTTTAGATTTGATCTTGCCATTTTACCTGTAACCTGATATTCTCAATGTTAGACTAAGCCTAATTGGTCATCGTCATAATGGAAGATCCACCACAATACAAGCAGGGCATCAAGCAACAAACAGGGTAAACTGGGGAGGTCTCATACATCAGAAAAAGGAGTTACTGTTTGGTGCAGGCCACTCCAACAACTAGGAGGAGACCTTTTCAAGTATGAAGTAAGTACATAATCATTTCAGAACGCAAATTTGATCATTACAAACAGTCGAAAAGTTGGTTATCAGGGGTCACTAGGGGTCACTAGGGGTCACTAGGGATCCTTCGAGTTCCATGTTCGTAGGAGCTAGTTGATATGTGACACTAGCCAATACTGAGACTATAACCCAATTTCCGACATCAGGACAGAATCTGACCTTGAAATAAATTTAATTAATTTAATATCGGTTGAAATACAAATAATAACTAAATAAGATGATCGCATCAAGGTAATATCAAGCTGGCAACTCTGATGAAATTAAAATGTAACCGCTTAACATGATATAACGTCCCCTAGGTACAAACAGTAAGGTTAGGGCCTAGAACTAATGTCTAGACGCAATTGAGTCTTGAAAGGCTCATGGGACGAGACTCAATAACACAAATTAATCTGAACAGATAGTTAAGTTGGAGATTAAGACTAATGTTCTGAGTTTAATGCTCTTAATGTATAACATCATACCATGGACTATGGTTGTTTGATCGTTAGTTTAGCAAAGGTTCCGGGTTAAGAATAACGGTACAATAGATTCGATTATTTTTGTTATTTCGTGTTTTACACCACCTTCCTGGTCTTTTTATTCTGTTTTCCTGGTTTTTTATTCAGTCTCCCAGATAAATGGTGTAAACCTTAATTTTAATCTTTGGTGCGTGATATAACATCTATCTTTGACGGCTTTCCCGCTAAATTGAGTCTGAAATACCAATGACACAAAAGATTGCAGGAAATATTACGCAAATATTGTCATTATGAAAATATTTCGCATACATTTTTCTTGCATATATTATTACATTTGCTAAAATCGTCCGACTATCTTTTTTCCTTTCGTCTGACGAAGAGAACTTGTTTATCCAAATCCGTTATCAATTTGTTCTGATTCACCGCCCTTGTGTATCACATATTACCCCATAGTACCACATATAGGACTACAAATCTTGCTACTCTTATCGTAGGATTGTATCTTCGTTAAATTGTTATTACGGGGACTTCTTGTCTTGACTAAATTTAAGTTAAACATAATTATTAGATAACAACAACCAAAAACCAACGAGGATAAGTAAATTTGTTAAAATACGCTTACTTTATGTTACTTTATAATCTTGCAGAACCGTTACCACCGTTCTGGTCAGTTCACTGCAAGTTAATAAACTGATAAGATACCAGTCTTAAAACTTAATATAGGAATGAAGTGTCTTCCAGCCACCTGTCTTTGAAATTATTAGTTTAAAGGCAGGTGCTGCGTTCTGAAATTATAGTTCTAGTCGGAACTACCGTTACTGAAGATAGTGTGCTTTCTAATGGCAGTAATCATTATCCATATAGTTTTTAGTGTCAACATAATTACAAATTTTGTCCCTCAACTTTCATTAAAACAGTTGCCATAATTATGTCGATTTGATATTTCAGAGGTCTTCACGACTTCACAGTCAACTTCACACGGATGTTCGAGTGGCATCACCCACGCCTATCTAATCTTACAAGCTTGATAACGTGACGTAAACTGCGTAAAATACCTTAACTACCATCGTGTCACTAGGTTCAAACTTTAATCTCAAAGTCCCATAAGTTAGAAGTTGTATTTAGACAAATTCCGTATTGTGTCGTTTTTTAAGTTTCTTAAGCATTCTTGGCTGGTTTCGTAACCATAATAAGCGGTACATGCTATGAAGTAAGCACGTATTAGAACATTTTACGAAGTTGTTTATATTATTACTTGTTACCTCCTGATTGTACCATGTTGTATAATTTAATTTAGTAATCTGCACGACATGTTGTGAATAAAATCATCTTCAGAAGCAAAGTTATTTCATGGATAAATAAGGCTACGACAAATTATATTGTATGCTCAGTGAATTACATGTGTCCATTTATTCGTTTGTTTCATAATAAACTCGATTTAATTCACGATAAGCTGAATAGACCTTTGATATAAGGCCCCAAAAAGGCTTCCTAGAAATTCCGTCTCCTAAATTTTTCACGTATCGGCATATTGTTATGAAACTTGGATATGTTATAAGACCCAACGTATGTTTACTGAGTTTATTATGGTAGATAGAATTTATTTGGTATCGTTTCTTTGTGTTCTTAACCCCTTATAGCTTAAAGACTAGTAACAGACTAGTAACAGACTAGTAACAGACTAGTAACAGACTAGTAACAGACTAGTAACAGACTAGTAACAGACTAGTAACAGACTAGTAACAGACTAGTAACAGACTAGTAACAGACTAGTAACAGACTAGTAGCAGACTAGTAACAGACTAGTAGCAGACTAGTAGCAGACTAGTAACAGACTAGTAACAGACTAGTAACAGACTAGTAACAGACTAGTAACAGACTAGTAACAGACTAGTAACAGACTAGTAACAGACTAGTAACAGACTAGTAACAGACTAGTAACAGACTAGTAACAGACTAGTAACAGACTAGTAACAGACTTTATGTTTAGAGACAACATGTAACTGTGGTAATAGTTTGCAAATTGTGCGATTCCCGCCTAAATAATTACACTTTTTATGTGCGGCAAATTTGTTGTAAAAAAAACACAGTTTTTAAACGAAGCAAATCAGAAGAGCAGTAAATATAACAATATTAATTTATAATAAAGTTAATAACATTATTCTATTACTGTAAGGAAACGGCCACAATTTCGTCTGGTTATGATCCGGTTCCGGTTCTACATTAAGTTTTTTAATTTCCATTATGATGTATTCATGTATTGCACAATTACTAACAGTGATAATTGTGCAACAACTTCTGAATAACGGAACTGAAATTCGGCACTTGTTTCTTTCAAATTGCCGTATTGCACAGTTGTACATCGCACTCATCTGACTGGGTAGAACAACGCATAACCCAATAGTAGTAATTTAAATGTTCTGGCAAATAAACAGAGATTCTGTATGAAAGTGCATGAGATATTTCCCTGTAGGTCGAGAAGATGTCACGCGAGGAATCAATTAGTCATGACTCATGACGTCTCATTCTTTTAGGAACTACAATTTATAATATTTTCCGGGAGCACTCAACAGCCAAGGTATTATTGTATTATAATTTCTCGTCGTTAATACTTTTTACAAAGGAAATGTAGTAGAAGGGCTCGCAATCCAACTAAGATAACGACTGTTTACGTCTTAAGTAAAGAATGGGACCGACTAGGAATCAGAATTCCGGTCCTGTTAGTAATGTTAACATTAATATTATTTATACGCGCTAGCTATATTATATATATGTTTATTCAACTTTACCACGTACACATACGGAAATTATAAACAATCTTTGTTAGTTGTTGTTCTGCTAAATGCTTTCTCTGTGCCACATTGAGGATTTCAATTTTTGTTGTTGTTTAGTTATTTGTAATGTACACCAACCAACGCATTCTAAACCGGTAACTACAAACTTCCAAACCTGCTTGCTTAAACAACAACCACTGGTATGCGAGGCGTGTCCCATTAATTGTATCATATAACACTGATGAACCGGAGGTAATGGGTAACTCCATTGCTCCACCATTATCGCACTATATTTACAAAATATTACCGCACTTACATGTTGCTTCTGACAAATAACGGTTTTATAGCACGTGCTTTTACTAGAATGAGGAGGGATATATAGTAATTTGCTTGCTAAATATGCTTAATGTATTAAATATGCTTGTATAAGAATTTAGTGTCATGTTAAAGTTATCCTTTGTGATCCGTGTTATTTTTCTAACTGATTTGTTAGTCCTTGGTACAATTGTTTGCAGTTTGTCTGGTAACATACACCCAGTTTAACACCCTATATAAGGACCATGTCCTACTCCTACAACACTGATAAGGCAGAGGTTATGGTTAACCCTGTTGCTCCTCCGTTAGATGATGACAAACCAGAGAAGGTGGGTTTGGTATATTGTTGAGATTGTTAAGAGATCTAAACAGTTATTTTTGAGATTTTGTGGGGGGGTATCCCCCGGCTCCTTCTCTTTATCAACACTTATGAAGTGTCGTTTGCAAGATGATATTAGAGTTGTTTCAGAAACACCGGTGTGCTCCCATAATATGCTACAATTAATACCTTAGGGCTAATAAATTTGGTTCACAATAAATTTGGTTCACAATAAATTTGGTTCACAATAAATTTGGTTCACAATAAATTTGATTACCAAAATGTTAGTTACCATAATTTCAGTCACATATTTCGCAAATTTTTAGTCTGCAACAATTTTAGTCACATTTTTCGACTTTTCGAGACCATTTTCTATTCCATTTTACCTTAAGAACGACAAATTTAGTCTACCCCGTCTGAGCATTACAGATTAAGCTGCAATGCATTACTCAGGAATTTCAATAACATCAGATCCAGAGTTTGTGACTCTGTATCACTAAGTTCTTTAGTACACTGTTCAGTTTCTTTTTCACCCTTTTTCAACTTTACCATTTTTGTCGGAACGACGTAGTTTATGTCGATATGATCCTTCAGCCGTTTCAACAGAGCATGCATTGGGATGGATCGATTAAAAATGTAATGTCCAAGAGGAGCTCTAACCCTTTAAATGCAATAGGAATTTGGTACGGTTTTGTGCAGTAGGAACGGTGATGTCATATATTAATTATAAAAATGTTAGCTTAATAATATTCATGTCATATTTGCTCTACTGAAATTTTGGTCTGCTTTAAAATTAGTCGCCGAAAAATTTAGTCTCATGAAATTTGGTTTACAACAATTTTAGTCAAAAGTTTGACTAAACTTATGGTAGACTGTATTTGTCGTTCTTAAGGTAATCCAGTTATTCGGGCATGTCACGCACGAGTAAGTTTAGCGGATTTACCAGGTACACTCACACGGTGTTTCACTTGATAATGATTCTCAACGAGAAGTTTGCGATACAAAACTTTACTTTAAGTTCGAAACTACTGCTTTGGATATGAATTTTTGTGATTTGCGAATCCTACAGTCATGCAGCATATAGACTAACGTGTTAAATAGTGTTCGTTCATTTCTGCTCCAGTATAGTCCTCAATCACTCAAACTACTAATCCTCGGGCTGTAAAACTAAATCCCATGGTTCTCTATTTAGCCCGTAGTTTATCTGTACTTTATATTCTGTATTCTATCTGTATTTTATCTCTAGTTTTGTCTGTTTTCAGGAGTATAAACCAGTGCACGAAACACATATGGGAGTTAATGGAGACGCGGGATCAGGAGAAGTCAACCCTGCAGACGAGTACATTGCCATCAGAAAACAGGTTTGTAATGTGGTGATATTGATTTTATAGAAATTGTTCTCTAGTCTCTACTGATCATTCGTTAAAATCATTAATTTGTTAAAAGGACGCCTTTTATATCGATTAAACGTATAAATCCTGAATCTCGAAACAAATAAAATGCATTTTCTAAAGGTTGTATCACATTAGTAGCTGAAACTTATCCCCAGCTGAAATTTCCAGTGGACAAGTCTCCTGGAGTTGCGATGGCATTCCTGCTTGGATTCCAGCAATACCTCATCATGTTCGGACCTACCTTTGCTATTCCTGTGATTCTGTCTCCAAGCTTATGTATCGCGAGTAAGTCTCATCAATCGATAAATATTTGCAGTTTGGGAAAGGAAATGACCGCAGTAAATCAGGGTTTGCGTTAAATCTGGGCGCTGTAAAACGGGGGATTCACTGTACTATGTGATAAGGTGCTGCTGGAGCGATATATCAGCTCAGCTCAGTGTCACTGGTTTGGGAAGTGAAACTCTTTGCTCTATAGGTTCTCCATGCAATTTGTTAGGCGTATTGTAATTATTTTGATCCGATTCCAGCTAAAATTATTTACTTTTTTATTTAAATTTTCCTGTTCGATATCCACCCCTGTTTGTCCAGTACTGACTATGTTTTCTGCCAGCTAACGTAGAAGCTAAAGGTCAACTCCTCAACACTATGTTCGTAATGTGTGGACTTGCTACACTGCTTCAGGTAGGTTACATACACTGTACTGTTGTGCGGCATTTCTCATGTTGTTGTACTGTTCTTCATTTTGTTTTTGCCTTTTTGCACTTATGTTCACATATCTGTTTTGCTTTATCACTCACAGCCAGCCGCTCTGACATGGTTAACCACCTTCCTTGTATGTTTGGTTAGTCATATGAGCGGGATATAAATACCGCATTTCATTTCATTCTATAGATTAATACACGGATGTAAACTAGACCTAGCCTTGTTATAACCTATCTGCAATTTTAAGCTCTAAGTTGAGGCTTAAGCTGAGTTCAGTAGCTCTGAATGGAACTTTAGAAGCTTCTATTTATAACCAATCTTGAACTGAATATAAAAGCCTAAAGACGATGAACACATGTTTTTTGTAACACGGTTATACCCGCAGATATTCTTTGGAACCAGACTACCAATCATTCAAAGTGGATCCTACGTTTTCTTCGCGGTTGCTGCTGGAATAATGTCCAAGAGCCCCTGTCAGAAGGAGTATTTTGTTCAGGATGAGAATGGCAGTAAGTTAATATTTTGTGATATTCTTTATTGTAGTTATTGTCATTTAAACAGATATAAAGCTATAACTTACAGAGAATATGTAGTTTAGGCTTAACTTTCATATAAAGTAAGTCTCATTCAAAAATATTGATATTTGATTAATAAATGGGACGAAATCTACCAAATTTGGTGCGTATGCCCAAATATGGGCATATGGTTTTTGGCTCATAACTCAGTCGTTCTTTGTCCAATCTTGATGAAATTTCATATACGAGTTCAAGAGACCACTAGATACAAGTATCTTATCTTATCTTATCTTATGAGGATTCGTTGCGACGCAACAAGGCCATCGAATGAGTCGACCACCTTTGTTATTTTACTTCGGCATTACCTGCATTACAATGTAAACCGGCACTTTCAAGGAAGAGCTTTACAAGAAGCCGAAGGATCGTTCCTAAGGCCAGCGACGGTTAAGGCACTATGCCACACTTTCTTCGCCCGAGGCTTCGCTGTGTTGATCAAGCACAGCTCCTCATTTAACCCTCACACCCGATTTCTCGAGCATTCGGCTGAGTGGACCGTGGGGCTACATAGACCACTCGGGATCCTTAGCAGAGCGTCAACGACGCTCACCCCACGACTAGGCAGGCAGTGGGATTCGAACTCGCAACCTCACGATTACAAAGCCGATGATTAACCAACTGCGCTGATTAACCAAGAGCATGATTAACCAAGAGCACCATAAACCTGGGTTTTGGGCGTGTTCAGGGTATTTGGCTAAATTGGGCCTACTTTGGACCCAATATGGGCGTGGCTGCCTCGCGGGCACCGTTTGGCGGTTGGGGTCCGGGACCCCCTCAAAAGTTCGGTCACTGGTCCTAGTTTGTTGGTCAACTGCTATCTCGAAATCAAGTTTCACAAAAAAATACCCATGGCTCCCCCCCCCCCCCCCCCTTAACACTTAACACTGCGCTATTTCTCAGATAATGTAACACAAGATTGGGACCCTAATTGGCACAAGAGAATGGCTGAACTACAGGGCAACTTGATGGCAGCTAGTGTTCTTCAGGTACTACCACTACTACCACTACTACCACTACTACCACTACTACCACTACTACCACTACTACCACTACTACCACTACTACCACTACTACCACTACTACCACTACTACCACTACTACCACTACTACCACTACTACCACTACTACCACTACTACCACTACTACCACTACTACCACTACTACCACTACTACCACTACTACCACTACTACCACTACTACCACTACTACCACTACTACCACTACTACCACTACTACCACTACTACCACTACTACCACTACTACCACTACTACCACTACTACCACTACTACCACTACTACCACTACTACCACTACTACCACTACTACCACCATCTTACCACTATTGCCACAATTACCACAATCACCTTTATAACCTGTATACTGATTCAGCATCAGGACTCGACCGGGACTGATTTTTTTGGCCGGGACCGGGACTGGAAAAAAATGCCGGGACCGGGATTCAGGGATTAAGACCGGGACCGAGACTATGGCTGACAAAATTTTACTTGCAATAATAATTCGGTATAAAAACCAGTGAAATATCACTCTTAGTATATTGACCTTGGGGTGCAAGTTGTTCCGACGGAATTCTTGCCAGTTGCTAGATTAATAATGGTTTTAAGTGTCTTGCATGCTATGTCAGGAACTTGGTTGATCAATGATACTGTATACTCGTCAGCTTATTCAGAGTTTTTGAATTTTCCAACAAGGTCAACAGACCCTTAATGTTGTACGAGAAGTCCACATTTTCCAGATATTTCATCAACAACTAGATGCAAAAATTAGATGACGTGGCATCGGATAATTTCCAATGTTTTGCCCCACCTAAATGGTGCCTCTGTAAGATTCAGAAACTCCAACAAAATATTTTTCAGATGATTCTCGGAGGGTTCGGTCTGGTTGGGTTCCTGCTCAAGATTATAGGTCCGATAACGATAACAGTGCTGATATCACTTATTGGCCTGTGTCTGGCGGGTGTAGCTGCTGGTTCAGCCAGTCAAAACTGGGGGATTGCTCTACTGTGAGTATATACTAGTTGGCAAATTTGTTGATTTTCTGGCTAATTATGTGGTAGATATGAGTGTTAATTTTTATAGAGTGAAAGCGAATTTTGCAAAAATTTAGGCACATATTAACTTATTAAAGGAGCGTGAGAGATTTTTTACCATACGATTTTTCTTCATGCCCCTCCAAACTTTGCATATTGAAGGATTTGGCAGTAATTTAAATTATCATGTTTGAGTATACATGTTTAATTATCATGTTTACTTGACAGGATGGTAGCGTTGGTGACACTGTTCTCGGAATACTTGAAGAATGTGCCAGTTCCCCTTCCTTACGTTACGTACTCAAGAGGCTCCGTAAGTTATTCCTTTTATTTGATTTAGGCTTTAACTTTATTTCGGTAAGTTATGTTATGATAAATTATAAAATCTTTCGGTGGGATTTTTGTTGATTTTCGTCTGATATCGCACACAAAGTAAAAGAATTGCTAAGATTTTATGCAGGTTAATTACCAGATACCTCAAAAGATAAAGTTTTAAAAACATACAAACTAAATCATTGCCAAATGGTTACCAGCCATCTCTGTAATTCCTGAAATCATCAACAACAGTATCGATTACCGTACATAATTAACAAAACTTCGTGAAAAAACGCATATTCCCACGAACGTTTTTCCACAAACCTTAAAACTGAAGGAATCTTATTCTGATAAAAACGATACATATCAATGAAATTTATGAGAAGGATATCATAATAACGAACCAGAACCGGAAACCCTCCTTATCACTACTCCTTATCTACACTCCCTATTTACCTGCTCTGACACAGTTAGGATGATCACTCTCAGGAGGTGAGCTGAGGATCCCGTAACTACAAGAAGCTGCCCTCCCACCTAGATTAATGTACCCACTGCTACACTTCACCCTCACTACCTGGGTGTTTAGTGGGTACTAGTTCAATTTGTGTTAGAGCACTATCACGTGGGTACTATCACGTGGGTACTATCACGTGATCACTATCACGTGGGCACTATCACGTGGGCACTATCACGTGGGTACTATCACGTGATCACTATCACGTAGTCACTATCACGTGGGTACTATCACGTGGGCACTATCACGTGGGTACTATCACGTGGGTACTATCACGTGATCACTATCACGTGGGCACTATCACGTGGGCACTATCACGTGGGTACTATCACGTGGGCACTATCACGTGGTCACTATCACGTGGGTACTATCACGTGGGCACTATCACGTGGGTACTATCACGTGGGCACTATCACGTGGGCACTATCACGTGGGCACTATCACGTGGGCACTATCACGTGGGTACTATCACGTAGGCACTATCACGTGGTCACTATCACGTGGGTACTATCACGTGGGCACTATCACGTGGGGTCTAGTTTTGTTAGGGTACTATCACATAAAACAAGTTCATCGCTAAACGGATGAGCTATAAGGGATATAAAACTTTACTTTAAGATAAAATTGTTGATAGACGTAGAATGAGGGATAATTTGATATCGGGTGCTCACAAAGTTTAAGTGCCAATTTGATAGTTAACATACATAATCAAATTTCTTAATAAATAGTTAACAGAATTGTCCTTCTTTTGAGCACAAATTTTAGTGCCACTAAAATTTTGCCACTAAAATTTGGCCACCAAATACCTCATTTTGATTGACTGGTAATGGGGGGTCTGTTTCTGCGTGTAACCAAGACATGTCAACACTCTCACAAACTAGTGACACACCTGTAAACAGAGTTTTTAAAGTAAGCATCGCAGGGACTTACCCGATCATATGTCTTTTTTCTTATTTGTAGCAATTTCATGGTCCAAGGTCTTACCTGAAAAGCCAAAGATAAAGAGCTCGTTGACTGATAAGAATCCGCTGTCAGCTTCATTCTGTCGTCTAGATATTCTGATCTTGTTCCCCTGTCTGCACCTCTCAGATACATTATCAGCATCTCCATCACTTATATAGACAGAGATTGAAGTCTTATCACAGTCGTCACCAGTACAGAACATCCTGCTAGGTTCAATGGTCCATATGTCACGTTTAGTAATACTCCACCACCTGGACAATAATTCAGCTGAATCCATTAGATTTGCAAGTTTTCAGAAATCTATACTAATAATTTATTCGTTAGTATTGAAATTTGGATCTAGCTCTGGGTTTCAAGCACGAATCACGGTTCAACTGTAGGTTGGACTGCACGGAAGAATATTTATAACATAGTAGGCTTCCTAATAACATTTTAAACCGACGATATCCGTGGTTTAATATTGATTTTGGCGATTGAAAACAGAAAGAAAATACATAAAACTCTACCGAATTTCATACCTGGCCACCTCACATATGTAATAAACATGTTCCATTGTTGCCTCGAACCAGGGTTCCTCACCCACCGCAGCAGGACCACTCAAGGCCCAGGTGGTCGTTTTACTGTCTATTCCCAGATTTGCTGTCTGATGATCGTGTGTACAGGATTGTTCAGCTGCTACAGGTCTTAGCTGTATTTGCACCTCTCTTGCTTCTCCTTGTCGGTTTATTAGATTAGGGATACTTTATTTATTATTTAAGCTAGATTTTGGCAATTTTAGACCTCTCCCCTCCGTAAGTCACCTTAAACATAGCTATTTTGTAGAAATGACACTTAATCTTTTCCAAACCCGCTCCTCATAGTTTACGAAATATGTGAACGGTTTAATTCTTAACTTAGTGAACATTTTCAATATCAAATAAATATTAATAAATGGAACAATGCTAATTTTGAAACTGAAAGTTATGTACCACGTTTCCGGTCGAAAAATTCGGGTTAAAAATCAGTCAAATGAGTATTTTTAATGGGTATTTGGTAAAGAGCTTCATACAATCTTACCTGCACAAATCTGAATAAGAATTATCGGTAGAAATTTGATGAACTTGTGCATTTTAGTCACTTGATGCAGAGTTGATCAAGATCAGCGTCTTGGTGTTATGTATCAACACAAGTCATCTATGTACATCCTGAATTGAATTGAAGCTCACTCTTAGTGGAAGAAAAAACAACACAAGGAAGGTGGTTAACCATGTCAGAGCGGTTGGCTGTGAGTGATATGAGCAAATGAGAAATGTGAACGTAAGTGTAACTCGAAAAAGGCAAAGGCTAAATTAAAACATCTTTTATCGAATAAAACTTCTAATAAGCATTCAAAAAGGGATTCAAAACTCAGGACATATCATTCCTCGCAGCAGCTAGCTACAGTAAACCGGACACAAGATTGTCTTCTTTCACTTTTTGAGTAAATACAGTTTTGATATTCAGCATATTTTCAAAAAATCCAAATGTCACAGAAAACAAATTTCGTAAAAACTAAAAGTTTATACTAACCAGCTGACCTATAAATTACGACAACCGCAGCTGTTTATAAATGACAGAAGTGAGACTAGCTTCATAATGCAGTATGTAGTTGCCACTAGTTACCCACTAGTTGCCACTAGTTCGCTAATCTACCCACATCAACCCACAGGTGCGTTAAATTGGGTCAAAAATTATAAAATTGGCTTCGATTTTTTTGCGTCCATCGCATTATCATTCACGTAAAATTATCACATTACATAGGAAACAAAGAAGCAGGATAAGTATTTCATGTTATTATATGGAGCAATCTTTCTGTACCAACAAATAGTTAGATATTTCGAAAATCAGCACTATTTAACTATTTACCTATATTCCTGCTCACTGAGCTGCATCTTACCAGTATACTTATAAAGACCATTACTCTCCGCTCCTCGCTCCCTAGTCTAGAATCATATGATTGAGACTTGAAAAAATAGATTTCTCAGTAGACCTCTAACACGACGTCTCCTAACACCTGTTATTATGAATTAAGTTTTTCAAATTCTGCCCACGTGTGGTAGTCATCTGATTTAAAATATTGTTTAACATTGTAGAGGTTGTTGAAAGTTAATTACTTCCACTAGTAGCTGCTGGTCCGTTGAACCAAAATATACCAGTAAATAATTAGATGAATAAAAGTTAAACAATTGCCTGATCATTTAACACGGTAGGGTTCTGTAACCGCTCGATAAAGAACACACTGCAAATTATTTAATCAATATAATAAAGCTACACCTCGTATACCTGCAGACGTTCAGACCATCTCAACAATCCTCCCGCAGTAGAAGGTATCTAACAAACTGGGATACTGTAGAACCAACAGCTTACGTTGGTCCAATCTCTTATCAGCTCGCTTATATTTTATTATTTTTATTGATATCTTTCAAATCAACCAATTACATACAAATTACACAATGGATTAAATTACAAAATGTTTCCTGAAAGTTAATGTAGATTTGCGAACGAGCTTAATATGCTTAAAGACTTAAAATGTATGTAATTAAATGACTTGTGGGTCACCAAAATACGGAGTGCAGATGCAACTTCTGTACAAGCATGGGCAAATCTCGGTTTTTAAAAACTGGACTTTTCTTTAAGGTTTTATTGCCTTACATAAAGTAATTTGGCGTATAATTTTGTTCTAGCAAGGATGATTGTCTAAACTGTCAATCAATAAGTGACATATTTCCCTAGATATTAATTGTACCGGTAGCTATCAGGGTGAATACCTCTGGAATTCTGTAAGAAATATCACAAACTAATGACCTCAAGAATAATTACTTGATTACCAAATACCACATACTAGACAGTTCACTTTAAAGCTTTAAAGCTTTAAGGTGACGAAATTCCTATTTTACCTTACGTACCTTACTCGGGATTATTACGACGGGTTTATTAACGACCGGTTAAAATATGGTTCGGGAAAAATATGGCGAAATTGCTCAAAACCCACCACATTTTCCCGGTCGCCATTTTACCGGTGTCCAACCTTTCAATTTTAGATTCAAAAATTTTGTCTCAGATGTAAATTTCCTAATTAGAGATAAGCAAGTTTAGAAATTTTCGCATTGCTAAAACTTGTGAAACAAGTCGAATTATCAATAATTGTTGAAAGTAGACAGAAATAATGACTCGTGGTTAATCAAACTAGATGGAAAATAATTTTTAACATTTGAAGCGTAACAACCAGATCGATATCTTACTATATATAAAGCGAGACGATATATATGGATGTGTTTATCCGTACCATTTTACTGACACCACGGCATCAACTTTAACGCGACTTTCCGCAAAAACCGTAAAAGATATACAACTGATACTTTTTTGACTGGGTCAAATGCTTTAATGGCCTCCAAATCAGCATGAAAAAATAAAAAATTGGCCAAGGAATAGGAGTTTTAGAGCCCAAAATTTGAACCCCCAAGTGGTGTCAAAAACGCGAATTAAATAGGTAATAATTATTTTAGTCTCTTGAGTCTTGACACTATTTTAGGTTTATACGGGTTCCTGCTAGTTAAGATAAAGGGAGAGCTGTTTAGTCTTCCAATAAGTTGTAATCATCTTCGTTATCTTCATCTGGATCATCCCTTTCATCAGTTTTAATTAATTCAAGTTTTAATTTAACTGTTACTTTTACTTTGAGTCCTATTTCATTATGTAGAGAATAGAGATAGTCAATACCTAAGAAATTAAAAATTGGCCTATTTAAATCAAATTTGACAATAAGGATATATGACAAGAATTGGGCAAAAAGGTGAATTTTTTGCAATTTTAGCCAAATGAAGTCGAAAAACCTACAACAAGTGTCCCAATAGTCTTCTTTAGTGAATATAAGACAACGATTAAAATATGAGCACCCATACCCCTTGGGAACCTTAAAAGCTGAGTAGGCGGGTTTATTAACGACCGGTGAAAATGTGGTTCGGGAAAAATATGGCGAAATTACCCTAAACCCACCACTTTATCCCGGTCATAATAATCCCGAGTAAGGTACATGAAATTCTTTATTCTTGTTGAATAGTTGCACAACAGGGAGGGGTAGAATAAGGCGCACATCCTAAAGGAAGCGAAAAATCAACGCTACAGTTCTTGCCACTGGTAAAATATGATAGGGCGTGGGGAAACTTTTACTTTTACTATCATACATGTGAATATTAAAACCACGCAAATAAGCAACACATTCCACACAACCTTGGCAAGCGACCACATTCCACATAACCTTGGCAAACGACCAAGTCTGAAACTAGAATGGAGCATGGAGCCACTGTAGCTATCAAAGTATCAATGTTATTTTCAATTTGGTTTGGACACATAGTAAGACAGCACAAATATAGGTGAATTCTTCGTATATTTACATCACTAGCCTATAAAAATAAAATTAGGTTAGACTAATGAAAGCAATTTAAAAGTTAACAACTTGAAAATTCAAAACAGATTTTAATCTGAAACTTTACTAAAGAGCTCAATGTGCTAGGTAGAATGGACAACAGAGCATAACAGATTATTCAGCGAGTAACTACAATCCTATTTAACCCAAAAATATTAGTTCTAAATTTTGAAATAAGAATGCTCTCTTCTCTATCAAGTGCTGTTGGTCGGACTTTTCTTACTACACCTAATTTAAAAACTCCCATAGTGAAATCAGATTTATGCGCTAGAAAACAATGCATGGAAAGTGCCGACTTCTCAAATGACAATTCATTATCAATTTTAAACTTGTTTCTGTGTCCATTCATTCTGATATGAAATGGAGAAACCGTTTGGCCGAAATAGGTGTCGTCTTTTAGGCTCTGGGGAAGTTTATTACAAATTTGGCATTGGGCGACATAAATTATATTGCTGTCCTTACATGTCAACCGGAAATCCAGAGTTAAATCCAAACCATTGACAGTGATAACTTCGTTGGAGTTGAACAGTTGGGGACAGGTTGCACAGCCTCTCCCGCCACAGTTTTGGCTGACGGTGAAAGAATCCGTTTCGGAGCACGAACTGAGTTTTCTATTGCGCACTACTGTGTTGCCTATAGATGGCTGTTTACGTAGCGCAAACAATATCTGTACGTCTCCGCATAATTGTTTGATGTCCTCACTAGTAGTGTGTACCAACTTCCTAAGTTCAGTGACCTCTTTGAAAAATTTCACTGAAAAGACAACTTTGTCAGTGATTGGCTTCTTATCTTCCCTCTCATACAAATCGTGTTCTATTGACCTCAAGACTGCTTCAGGCTCTGTTTTCGTTAAGGTCCCCTCCTTGTGTCCACTTTTCATTAGGTCTTCTTTAAGTTCCTCCAGGTCCTCCACACATGTGTGATCCTGCGAATTTCGCTTGATCACTCGGATCATCTGTGAGAATACTACTGATTTAAAGACGTGGTTTGGGTGGAAACTATCAGTATTAAGGTAAAGCCTGGCATCAGTCTCTTTCTTAAATAGTCTGTAGTCGATGTTGTTGTTCTCCCCCAGGGAGAGTTCTACATCCAAGTAGTTAACTGATTTGCCAAACTGACAATCACCGAACTGAATTCCAAATCGTTTTGCGGCTTCATTTAGTTTCGACACAAAAAGATCAAATTGCCTCCTGGAGCCCTTCCAAATTCCAAAGACATCGTCGATGAAGCGTCGCCAGAATAAAATAAGACTCCATAGCTGTATCATTTCAGGCCAGATGTTGATGAATAGCACCCAATGAAGCATGATATCAGCGACTTGACGCGAAATACAATTTCCAGTTGGGATACCCTTTTTGCCTGTGTACACATTTTCTTGAAAAGTGACAAAGGAGTTTGTGAAGATAATCTCCGTGAATGTTTTCAGAATAGCCTTTCGTTTATCGATCATAGCACTACCGTTCAGGGCATGTTCCAATGCAGACATAGCTATTTCAGGTTTTATGCTTGGATACAGACTGATCACGTCTAAAGTAAACAAGTTGATGGTGCTATATTTTGACATGTCTGCAGATTCATTAAGGTTTTTTATGTTACTGAGAAGGTCTGGTGTATCCAGGAGAAACTCCTGTTGGCAATAAATCCTACTTATATCTTTCATACAGGAGGGGGCCAAAAGTCAATGAATTATTTCAATCGGGCACTCAGTAACTGAGCTATAAAGGCCAACGTATTTCGGCCCCCCTGTATTAAAAACACCTAAATCACATTCAATGCTATATATGGTATTATATATTATACATCTTTACACACAGTGTGCAACCGGTAAAATAAGCTTTTATCTTGTGTTCCTAGTCGCCGGAAGTAAAGCAGATACATTCAATCAAGTGTTTATCTAAACATGGCGGAGAGTTAAAATCCGTTACATTACTCGTAATTAGAATACCATGCAAAGAGTTTACACTTTTGTAGAGTTGTTCATGTCCACAGTCCACAGTCCAGTCATCACCAAAAATGTGGTTTTAAATTAATAGATGTTCGACGGGACGTCAGGTCGGGGTGTATGGGGGTTCCCACGCACTGTTGACAATAAGAGTAAGCAGCCAAGGTTATAACGATATTAAACAGAGCTGCTCGTATCAAGGGATGTGATACGTACGTATCAAGGGGAGTACCTGAGCCAATCAGGTTTTAATACGCGGTCTAGATCTTAGATATAAATATTTGAGGACAGTAGTATCCCATTTTATCAACAATCATGCCATCCTTCTTCAAATTCATCACTGGTCCTAGAGGAAGTCACCAACCGCTGGACTCTGGCGGATACATCTACAGCAGGAAGAAACCCCGTGACACCGCCCTCTCCTCTGCTTGGCGTTGCTCGAAGAACATATCTACTTAGTGTCAATTCCACCTCGCTTTCTCAGTCAACGCTCTTTCCCTTGGAACTAAACCACACAACCACTAGATGCAAATCTGGCTACCCCACAGAGACGTGAACTTCTAACAACGCTCAAGAGGAAGCCTACAGAACAACTCTTGTCAGCAATTCAGAACCCGGTCTCAGGTGCTTCAACAGAAGTAAACGCTCCCGATTATGGAATCCCTCAGTAAAGTAGTTCAGCAAGCCAGAGCTCCGGATCTACCCAGCACACTTCTCCCTTCCTCCCACGGCCCACTTGTACCTTTACAAGATGTGTGTTAGTTGTTACCAAGGATTGTGTCCAAATTAGAGTGGAAAATCGGACTAGTGACTAGTATCAGTCAGGAAATAGGATTGTTAGGTGCCGCTTTCACCCCCGTTATAATTTCTGTCTAAATTTGTTAACAATTTTTGCTGATGAATAAATAAGGAGATTAAGTTGTCCACTTTAACGCAGCATTCTTCTACAGGGTGCGAAATTTCAAGTCGCCTGGCTGAAGCTGTTCTCGACGCTGTCCGTAAGTATTATCAAGATAATTTGATGTCAATTTGAAGAAATTCCACCCAATACGTCGACCCTTTCCCGTTTTGTATAGTTTTACAGGATAATAATTATCGTCTGATCACCTCACTTCTCGCAACCAATACCTATTGTTCTTTATTTATTGGTCAATTATCACTTTTAACGATTTTTCCTCAGATCATCCTATCTCTAATTATCGTGTGGGCTTTGTGTGGTATACTGACAGCCACTGATACCTTTGCTGAAGGTAACCCTGCCAGAGTGACTGACCTTAAAAAGAGAATTGATGAAGCATCTTGGTTTTATTTCCCGTACCCAGGTAAAATGCAGCACGCGCGAACTTCGAACGATATTTTACTGTTGAAAATAAAAATGTCTCATTCACGTTGACCGGATGAATTAATCCGAATACCCATAAATCTTCCTACGCGCATTGTGCGCGCGCAATTTTAGCCAGCTCGCCTAGTAAATTATAAGTTCTGGTACGTAATAAAAACTAGTAAATTATTAGTTCTGCCAACTAGCAGTCATTTCATTTGAATTATTTGTATCAACTCCCCAGGTCAGTTTGGAACCCCGATAGTGACCGTCGGAGGGTTCGTTGGAATGGTTGCTGGGGTTATCGGAGGTGTTATTGAGAGTATAGGTGATTATTATGCTTGTGCTAAACTGGCTGGTGCCCCACCCCCACCAAAGTAAGCTAACTTTTGTTTATATTACTTTATTTTTTTGTATTCAGATAGGTTTTTTCAGCTTTTAGGTCGTAGCCAGAGGAGGCTTAAAAAGGCTTGAGAACTCTCAGGTTTCCACTATCCTGTTAAATCATAATCATGTCTGGATAATTTGAGAACTCTAATTCTCACAGATATAGAAAACATGACTGAAAGCATGAAATTAATATAGCAGAAAGAATTCATTGTTAATTCATAAAATAATGGTATAATTAATTATAAATTGTGGTCGATCAAAAATGCCACTTCATCGAGTGATCCTGACTGACTAAATTTTTACCGCTTATATAAGGCCAGGTTCTGGCAATGAATATCCTTGATATCGATAAAATTATATAGCAGAAAGAATGCTTTGACTAAATTTTGACGAGTATTACTGATCAATCGATTGATTTGATTTGATAAGCTGATATGATCATATGATGTCCCACTAAGCAGGACCACGTACATGATGAACCTCTAAGGAAAGGGGCCGGGTTGTGCCTCTAGTTTGCTCTTTGCCTGCAGATCATTGCTCAATACAACCATCACGGGGTCCGGACTCTCCGGAGTAAGACTCACGCCGTAGAGTCCCGGACCCAACCATCACCACCTAAAATGCATATAATTCAGCGTATATGTGCTATTATTTTATTTGTGCTATTATTTAACAACTGTACATTGTATAATTTCAGGTACGTGTTGAACAGGGGCATATTATTAGAAGGGGTCGGATGTTTCCTGACGGGTCTCTGTGGACCAGGAGTCGGAGTGACTAGTTACAGTGAAAATATTGGAGCTATTGCCCTCACCAAGGTACACAAAATAAGTGAGCAGCTTCAGGCTCAAATAATTTAATGGAAACCATTTTAGGGCTATATTTGCTTTTTCGGACTTTCAATTCATAATAAATTCTAAAATTCAAATACATTTTCAGCAGTATTGCAATTAGATTTACACAGTACCAGAATATTTACAATGAGGTGATAACATGATTTATGAAAGTTACGCCACTGCAAGGGAGTGTGATTCGTGAAATTAACGACACCGCTTCTAACACAAATGTATAGTTGTACAATTTACAATAGAAATAAAACAATGATTTTTTGTCAGGTCGGAAGCAGAACAGTCATACTGTGTAGTGCTATTCTAATGTTGATTATTGGACTGATTGGAAAGGTAGGAATATTCTTCGCTTCAATGCCCGAGCCAATCATCGGAGGAATGTATCTTGTTATGTTTGGAATCATTGCAGCTGTCGGTATCTCCAATCTTCAGGTAATATCTTAGTTTATGTTCTTATCTTGTGATCGTATTCGTTATCTTAAACTACGAGTATCTCGTAAAAATCATTTTTAACGGTTTTGTTGCCAATTCGTGGTCAAATGTTAATAAAATACTAGGAAGCTTTTTGCTTTCATGACATTTTCTATATGCGTAAACATTTGCTCTTAGAATTTCAATCATTGGTCCTTGAATCAATGACACTGAGATGCTTTCCGATCAAATTTATATTAAAACTTTCTGTGATGAAACAACTCCAGCTCAGTTACAAACCCTTGAAGATTGGTCTCATTTGAAGGCAAATTTGATAATTTCTAACGCATTCATCTTCAGTTTGTAGACCTGACCTCATCCAGAAACGTGTTTATTATTGGTGTATCTCTGTACATAGGTCTGGTTGTGCCAATGTGGGCTGAAAAAGTCATGGCTGACGATGAACTTAAAGTACATTTCTTATTCATTTCATAAGTGTTTTGAAACATTTAATTTACTAATTTAACAATTTAATAGTTTTAAATTTTACTTCGATTTTACCCCGATTTCATCCTAATTTCAACCCGATTTTATCCCGAGTTTACCCTGATTTAACCTGTAGGGTGCTATACAGACGGGTAACGAAGAGTTTGACCAGTTGGTGGCAGTGATATTAACCTCTGGGATGATAATAGGGGCAGTGATAGCCTGCTTCCTCGATAACACTATCCCTGGAACTGATAAGGAGAGAGGTACTGTGTAGTGTGTCTCAGTGTTATTAACTGGATTATCAATCTCACTTCAATCTTATAACTTATTTGTTCATAATATGCACCATTCTGGATTAAGTCACCGTCTTCAACTTTCCATATCATTCAGGGATGGAGAGTTACAAGTTGGCAACAAAAGCTTGTTCTGATAAGGCGCTCCTCGAGAAGATATACTACGAACCTTTGATGGAGAAGGCTGCCAAGAGATTCCCTGGCCTCAGAAGATTACCATTTGTTAATGGGTTTAAAGGGTTCAGTATGTAATAACAATGTATTATGAGATAATAACCATGCGTACCATACATATTACATATCTATAATACTGGGCTCCTCGGGGGAAACGAGTAGTGCATGATATAGAAACAAACTCGGCATAGAGAGGTTCAAAGGGTGATGATCCCAATTCCTAGTATCTAAAGCCTGTCAAATAACTTTTGGAGCGTCTCATACATTATGTACCTGTTGTGTCGTATATCGATGGAATACAGTTTGATAATATGTAATCACATTACCACCAAATACGATGTGAGCATTGAAAAATCACATTGCTTTCGCGGAATACCAAAACACGGGATAATTGACGGAACATTTGGGGAAAAGGAAGAGGCCCAAAAAATGGAGGCACCCGGTATATAAATATGTTTCACTGTATCAATATTATTATGGTATTACCATTACTAACAACTTCGTCAAACGATAACATCCAAAGTAAAGGTTAAAGATTTCTATTAAACGCCGGACAAAACTTGGTTAATTTGTGAGGTTATCGTATAGTTTTGAAGTTATCTATAAGTATAATACTGGGTAATATAATATAAGCAATTCTCAAGTAACTGGCCCTACGGTTCGCCGGTCTTGAGGCTGGCGGATGTTTTCTCTGCTAGCAATACAATTCTCTGATTATATTGGTAACCAAACGATATGCATGTCAAATTCGTTGATATGATAATGGTTCGATTTACAGAGTGCAGTTTTACATTTTGTATTATTATAAGTATTTTCGATTTAAGTTATAGAGACATTCCATTTGTATTTTGTAAATACAGACGACTTGTATAGTTTAAGAAGATTAGCTTCTCATAGAACAGGATGGAAGACGTTGTTTCAGTTTATATATCTGTATTTCTTTCTTTTTAGGCTACTTATCAGATCTTTAAAATATTCATTTATGTCCTATTTCTAAAGTTATATAGTAATAACTAATAATAAACTTTGTAAATTTACAAAGTTAACGAACGTTATTAATAATATTTTGTATTATTCTTCATTCTTGTTCAATTATATGTATACTGTCTCACGTCGTGATCTCCTGGTCCTTCTTGCATCACCTGGACCCTTCCTGCCGCGCGAAGGGATCTATTTGAATAATAGTTAAGATCGCAACGTGAGACAATAAAATCTTTACAACAGACGCCTGTAATGTAAACATGATCTCTACACGTAAAAAACAGCGCGTTCTCTATTTCTCTCACTATAAGTATATGTTGTAAACTATTGTAACCCGGCCTTCGGCCGGGATTGTACTGTCGTAGTTGAAACGGTGCAAAAGTATCAACTCGGTCACTGTCAGTAGAAACCGGCCGCACTGAAGTATTTGGTTTTGGTTACGGAGCAAACTCGTCGCATAAATCCTGGATCGAAATCGAAGTTTACAGGGTGGCTCAGAGTCATAATGTACGTAAATATAATATAAATTACCACCCTGTATTATAATACCGGACAATTAGGCAGGGTGCTAGGTATATGGGACACACTCAACTACCGCCCCTATCCCTGATAAAACTAAGGAGTCCCCAACATCTCCCTAAAGAGATTTCAACAGAGTGTGAACCACTGCCTCACTGACCTTTGGACAGAGTTCGACACTCGATCAAAAGGTCCAAGTATGGCATACATTATCTTTTGTGTTCTGTGTTGTTGTAATCCTGAATGGTAGAAAGTGGTACTGGTAGAAGGTGGTACTGGTAGAAGGTGGTACTGGTAGATGGTGGTACTGGTAGAAGGTGGTACCGGTAGAAGGTGGTACTGGTAGAAGGTGGTACTGGTAGAATGTGGTACTGGTAGAAGGTGGTACCGGTAGAAGGTGGTACCGGTAGAAGGTGGTACTGGTAGAAGGTGATACTGGTAGAACTAGAAGGTGGTACTGGTAGAATTAGAAGGTGGTAGAAGATAGTAGAAGGGTCAATTAAACCAGAAAAAAGTTGACATAAGTTGATACTACTGACCACAAGTATTTAATCTCGTAACGTTGTGACGCATAAAAAAGGTCTTGATCACAATGCTGGCAAGCATTACCGTTGCCATTATATTCACAATACTATTTACCCCTTTTACTATTATACCCCCTTTATTATTTTACAGGCATTAAGACTCATCGAACGTAGTCCGGCAGGTATATTTAAGTTCAAAACATTCTAATTCAATGTTAAAGATGACAGGAATAAGAAATAGTTATGTGGAGGTTTTTAAGAAATTTGCGCAAAATACGCGCCATGGCATGTTATACGAAATTCGGCACTATCCGTCGTGGAGTAGAGTCCGCGGCGGAGCCGCCGGACTCCGGCGGTGCTCCGCCAAAATGTATTACGTTTGGACTCGTATAAATTTTGGCGGACTCCGAGCGGAGCCGAGCGGACTCCGAGCGGACTTTAAAGTCCGCCGCGGACTCCGAGCGGCTCCGCCGCGCTTCGGCGGAGTGTTCGCCGCGGACTCCGGCGGAGTGGTCGGCGGACTCCGGCGGACCTCTCCGCCGGACTTGACTCCGGCGGAGTCCGGCGGAGCTTGGCGGAGTCCACCGGGCTCGGCGGACTCCGCTCGGAGTCCGCCGGCTTCCAACAGAGTCCACTGACTTCCGACTTCCGACTTCCGACTTCCGACTTCCGACTTCCGACTTCCGACTTCCGACTTCCGACTTCCGACCCTCGGCTAAATTTGTCACGTGACATACAACATAGCATTTTGCGGTATTGTGGTCAGATGAAAAGGTCGCTAGTGATAAACCTTAACCATTACCCTCACAATGTCAATAGTGTACAACTCTAGTCCTAACTTTGACCCTATAAGTATAATGTATAAACGTTGACCTTAACCCTCCACCAAACCGTCAGCAGCGAAATATCAAATCAAATCAAAAATAATGACATAAACATCATCACAGATTATCGAAAACTCGTCCTTTTTCCTTCACTTCAAAATTTAACTTATATTATAGTTACATATATTATTACCTCGGAGCGGTAATTGGAACCCCTAGGTTCAAGGAGGAATATCATGTCAAAAAGAAAGTAGAGAAATGGGTAAAGGATATAGAGAAACTTTCTACATTTGCTGCCGATGAGCCACAGGCAGCGTTGGCTGCATACACTAAAGGAGTAAATTGCAGATGGCAATAATACCTTCAATAATACCTTCAAAGAACTGTTCTCAACATAGCAGAACTATTCAGACCACTAAAGAGTGTCTTAAGACACAAACTAAATAATCAACCAGACCTAAATAATCAACCAATAGATTGGGCGGTCGTTCTTAGCAACCTATTTTTCTTAGTATCTAAAAATTTTAAGTTGATTCAATTTCAGTACAAGCTTTTAATTGTTAATGAGGATCACGACGTGTACTGTGTAGATACATGAGACACAAAATGAAAATTGTTACAGATACTCCCATGTGTAGCCTGTGTAACACATACTTAGAAACAATTCCTCATATCTATCTCCATTGTATCCACACAAATAGCTTCATCACAATACTTGAAGACTTTATAAAAAGGAATATCGATAGAAATTACAACGACCCCAATAAAATTAATTTTATAGTTTGTAATCACACTTCACAAATTATAAATTATTTTAATATTGTTGCCAAATGGTACATTAGCAAAAGATTTCAGGCAGGGGACATGCCGATCTGGCAGGGATACTTTCACTTACAGGAGACAAAATAGGCCACAACAATGTACAAAAGTTCTATTGTGTCGAATTCGATCTTGGCCGATTAGCCTTAGGGCAAATTGTCCACCCCATTTATATTGCTGTCTTTGTTATTTTATTATCAATGGTTATTGTTACTATCTTACAATATTGATACATGTTTCGTATCCAAATATCAGAGATATTATGGATACACCATGAAGGAACACCTCTGCGCGGCGTAAGTAAATTTACAAGTTCGCGCGAAAAATTGTCTTATTTTCCTGGCGCTTTGTTCTCGCGCCGGGAGTGAATCACTAATTAGCTAAATACTTAACTAGCATAAACTACAATCTAGATCTACAATACGAAGTAAGAGTTACCACGTTACTCTTTTATTTCTTCGTTAAGCCTACAATTCTAATAACTAACAATGGAGTATGAGGTCAATTAAATGTCCATAGATATGGATTATAGAAATTATATAAACACATAATTGAACAGCATTGATGAGAGAAGTGGAAAACAAACAAACGAATAGATTTCAAGCTCGTAAAGGATCGTTGCTGGATATTGGAGATTTCAAAAGTGTAGTCCGACAGTCAAAGTTCTCTTGTCTAACTTTAGTGCGTATCGAACTTGAGTCCAGATAGAGCACTTTAGTTCGACAGAGTCGAACCTCAGGGTTCGTCGAACTACAGTAAGTGACGAACTAGAGTGCGTGTCGAACTTGAGTACGTGTACCGAATTTACCATGGTAAAAACATCTTCACACCGTAAAATGGGCAAAAGCTACAATAACGGTTCCTCCGACATTGTTTACAGCGGGCAATATCCTTTATTTCATTCAATTCTTTTGAAGTGTTCATGACCAAATTACGGTCTTTAGGATCGTCCATTAATAATTTAAGGAGGCTTTTGCCGGGACAACCTATACACCCTTTTAATTTTGACAGGGCAGCTCAGAAGTAGATGGTTCCAAAACAAAACATAAATAAATCTAATCCCTTTAAAATAAATATGCTACCATCTAGCTTACTCATAGAACACAACTCGGAATGAGCTTTTATACTTCATATTCAAATCAAGCGGTAAGTAAATATTGATAATATAACTAACTCTACTGCATTATAATCCACTTTGCCTTCGGCGGCGCGCGCTTCGCGCGCGAAAAGTGGCATGCAACGTATGTCAATTACAATACTACTAACTGTTTTTTGTAGTACATGCCCTAATTCCTTCCATTCCTAAACTACCTTACAAGCTGTTCCTCTTTTAAACCCTTTTCAATCACTTCATTTCACTCATTCACTTCATATCTTATTACCACAGTATCTGCCAAAACCAACATGGCCCATGTGGAAGGGAGCCTTGACGTTGTTGACCACTTGGCCCTGCATCCCAAGCTGACGGTCGTCCTCCACTCTCTAAGTCTAAAAACATACCTTCAGTGAAGGCAGATGGTCAGCAAATAGCGATGCTAGGGCTTGGTGTGAACAAATCTTGACCTACTTTCACACCTTTGAGACGACTCTCGCAAATGCGAGAGTAATGACCCCGGGGAGGGCCCCATTGGTTTTAGTAGGTTGCATATTGAAAAAAAAATAAAAAAATAAAAAATTAAAATAAAAATAAATAAAAAAGATCTTTAAAAAAGACACAAACTGATACCAGCACTCGATCGTGGGCAGATAAGTATAATGAATAAATTGTGTAGAAATTAATAAATGTGACTGTGAGTGTGACATTGTGACATGTACATTTGCATTTGCAATTTGGGTACGTGGGCCGGCTCGATCCACGTGCGCGGCGCCCCCGCGCCCATTATGCTTACATCTCCAATTTCAATTGCATTTGCAGTGTGGTGCTTGATTATTGAGAGTACCCCATTTTATGAACGATAGATGAACTTACAATATATTTTGAAGTTTTTGAAGTATATTATATGTATTGATTATTCTGTGGAAAATAAAATTCTCTTTTTCTTAAATTCTCTTTTTCTTAATTCTTGTTCATTGAAATATTACCGCCAGCGAGGAGCCGCAGCTGCGACTGCAAGCCGTGTTACCCACCTCCCTGTACTGTATTGTGATCAGCATGAGTTTAATCAAAATAATGTGTATCACTCGCTTCACTCGATCCGAAATTAAAGTATATAATCCTACAACGCCAAGCTAGTAATTGAGTTTTATGAAAGCACTCTGGCCAGGCCAGAGTGCATGGAATTTTAAGTCAGTGGATTCTTTTTACCTAATTTTACCTCATCCCATTAAGGAACGCGCGATGGGTAAAAAGAAACCTAGCCAGAGTGGAAGTCGGCGCCCTCGTTAAATTTTTGGAGAAAATCGCTCGCCAAAATTTGTTGGACCAGGACGATGTCCTAGCCTGGCAGCTCATTGCGCGGCACGTCGCAACGAGCTTCGTTGTTCGTCGACGTGCGACGAGCAACGAGAAAAATTGTGTGGCGCGTCGGGTGGCACATCTTAACGGGTGATACGCGTATAAATTTCGATCGCTGACGTACAGCGAGCAGC